GGAAAATAGAAGTCCTCGTGAAAGGTGAATTTATCACTTGTACCTAAACATATTACATAATTGCCGACGAGGATGGGATTTTCAAAACCATAGAGTGATTAAAACGTTACCTCGTTCTTCAAGGACCATATAGAGGACTATGGCTGCACTTATCGGTAAGACAGGCGAGTATAAGGAGGGGGAAGAACAATTAGAATATTATCTTGAGAGACTAGAACAGTTCTTCGCGGCTAACGCGATAGCAGACGCACGAGTTGTGAGCGTGTTTCCTACGGTCATTGGACCGAAGCCGTACGCTCTACTAAAAAATATAGTATCATCAGACAAACCTTGTGATAAAACATTTGCTGAGCTAAAGGAGCTACTGAATAAACACTACACACCCGAACCGCCTGTTATAGCGGAGAGATTTAAATTCCTTCGTAGAAACCAGAAAGAAGGTGAAACGGTGGCCCAGTATGTAGTAGAGTTGAAATGGCTAGCCCGGACATGCCAGTTTCAGACCATACGAGATCGGATGGTGTGTGGACTGGGAAATTCCATGTGATAAAAGAATTTGTTAACAGTGAAAGGTCTCACTTTGGAGAAGGCAGTTGAGATTGCAACAGCTATGGAGTTGGCAAATACCCAAGCCAAAGAATTTAATCCAGATGAGACTAGGCCTATGACTGTGAACAAAATTAAATATAAGCCGCCTTACAATAAGGATAAGCCTAGTGCGGGAAAACAAAAGGGTGGATCAAGGAATCAAGGTCAAGGTTCATCAAAATCGCATTATAAGGTTACATGTTACCGGTGTACCGAGGAACATTATGTTATAATTGCCCACACAAGTCAACAACCTGCAATTTCTGCAAAAAGGTAGGACATTTAGCCAGGGCATGTCGAAAAAAGAAACAAGCCAAGGAAGTCAAGCAAGTATATACTACTACTAGTAATAGTGATGAGGATGAATTTGCTTTATATTCAGTTAAGAACTCATCCAAATCCGGTATAATTTTGGATATTTTGATTGACAGTAATCCAATTAAAATGGAGTTGGATACTGGAGCGGCAATTACGATTTTATCAGAGTCAGTCTACATGAAATATCTAAAGGCATGGCCACTTACAGATTCCGCAGTGAAGCTACGTACCTATGCTGGTGAATCAATCAAGGTGCTAGGTCAGCTTACAATTCCGGTAAAATACGAAAACCAGGAATACACCCTGCCTGTGTATGTCGTTCCTGGAAGCAAACCATCTCTCATGGGAAGACAGTGGTAAGAAAAAATCCAGTTAGATTGGAAAAAATTTTTCAAGGTACACGCCAATACTAACGCTAACGCTGAAATTATGACAAGTGAATCACTTACTAAAAGATATCCAGCGGTTTTCGCTGAGAAAGGTAACCCTATCAGGGAATTCACCGCTGCTGTGAAAATACCTGAAAGAACAAGGCCGATGTGTGCCAAGGCCCGACCAGTGCCCTACGCTTTGAAAGACAAAGTTGAACTTGAACTGAAACGATTACTAGAAAATGGTATAATATCTAAAATTGATCGTAGTGATTGGGCTTCTCCCATAGTGGTGGTACCAAAGTGTGACGGTAAAGTAAGTTTGTGTGGGGATTATAAAGTAATAGTAAATAAAGTTTTAGATGATTCCCATCATTCATTACCTACAGCAGAAGATCTATTTGCTATCCTTGAGGGCGGAAAGGTTCTTACCACACTTGATCTCACCAATGCCTATTTACAATTGAGCTTGGATAGAGAATCAAGGAAGTATCTCACTATAAATACTCACCTTTGGTTATTCCAATTAAATCGCCTTCCATTTGTAATATCATCTGCACCGGGAATATTCCAGTGTGTGATGATCCACATTTTACAGGGAATCCCTGGGGTAGTATGTTACCTTGATGACATACGTCTATAAAGGATTGCAAGACGTATGCCGACTTGCTTTGACTTAATTACCGTATTGTTTCTCAAATTGTATAATATTGCCAAGATACTTTCTCAATATGTTCATTTTATTACAAAGACTACAGGAGTAGCCGAAATATTCGCCTAATAAATGTTAGTGTTTCTAAAGTCAATATCTTATTATGTATTTAAGTTTCTTTACTGTTACGTTATATTATATTCTACAAATGTTTCGAAACACACGTGGACACGCCTTCTTCATATATAAAAATATATATATATATATATATATATATATATATATATTATATACTATACTGTACTATACTAGTACACTTAACCAAAGAAACGAATTAGTTAGTGCATGCAAA